GTTTAGGCTCGCGAGCTCACTAAATCGTTCACGAGCCGAGCTCGAGCTTCATTTTAAGGCTCGAATCGAGCTCGAGCTTCTTCAAATTAAACGAGCCGAACTCGAGCTTGGTCAGGCTCGGGCTCGACTCGGCTCGTTTACACCCTAATTCTAGGGATCGTAATGTTGGAATTTAGTCATGACTCTTAAGATAACCAACATATCTGAATGTTTTCAATTTTAACCAATCGATTCAGTAATTGATAAATAGATAAATCATGAAACATATAAATAATACCGATTTTAAGGATCAAATCTAGATTATAAATTTTTATCTATTTAGATACTTGAGGACTTCTACATGCATATGCTCCATAGCAAGGGAATATTCCTCACTTGGGTAATTTACTAGAAGATGCACGTGTCCTCCACTTCATCAAGATAATCAATCAATAATTTTGCTTCTAAATTAAATCACACAAACGAGTTTATCCACACACGCATACCAAGGTCAGCACTCGCACCCACTCCGTATATAAGAACAAGAAACAAAGGGGTTTGTTTAATTTCTGCTATCTGGATTCGAGGTTTATTGGGTCAAGCTAAGATCCATGGGTACGAACCGGGTCGTCGTTGGATCCGTTTATCTAATAGCGTGTTTGATTTTAGGAGCTCTAAGATCATGCAGTGGAGGGATCAGCAGTAGCTATGCCAGAAGCAACAGCATTAGTGCTGATATGCCGTTAAACAGCGATGTTTTTGCAGTTCCTCCTGGTTATAATTCTCCTCAACAGGTTTCCAATACTCTCTATCTGTGCATTCATATATGTGTATATACATCAGTAGGTTTTGGTACCCTAAATTTGAGTTCTGATGATCTTATCATACATTTGCTTGGATTTGAAGTGGGTATTTTTGATGAAAATCATTGAAAATTTCAGTTGAGAAATTTTACTTATCACAAATTAATATTAATCTCACATTTGGTTTTGAAGTTCTACACAACTTTCAAATTCAAAATAGATTCCAATTTTAGTTTTGCAACTTTGAATATACGAATCGTGATTCAGATCATACAATTTGGCTAGATTCGTTAAGCAAGCTATGAGATTCTCTTTCCAATTCATAGAATTGGTATAGCGATTCTTGGTTTAATTCACCAATTTTCAAGTGTGCTTATGCATTTAAGTCCAACGTAATTATGAATTCTTTCCTTTATAATGTATAAGATTGTTTATTATAACAATTCCAATTTCATTTAAAAAAATCTGCCTACTTATAGCAACGCCACATAAAAAAAAAACTATTTTCACAGCTACAATTCTGTAGATTTTTCAAATTATATTGGCTTGATAAGAAAATGTTAAAAGTACAATGCTATAATTGGTAGATTTTTCAAGATAAAAGGTGTAGTACTGTAGTAGAACGAAAAGAAAGTAGTATGCTATAATTGGTAGGTTGTTCAAAATGTTAAAACTGCATTGCTATTTTTTGCATTTAAACCTTGTACCTAATTTTGAATGCAGGTTCACATAACACAAGGGGATCACGAAGGTAAAGGAGTAATTATTTCTTGGGTCACACCGGATGAACCTGGTTCAAGTGAAGTGATTTACTGGGCTGAGAATAGTGAGCTAAAAAAACACGCAGTAGGAACCGTTGTCACCTACAAGTACTACAATTACAGCTCACCGTACATCCATCACTGCGCCATCAAGAACCTTGAAGTAAGCAAAATCAATGCTTCTAGGCTCTTATGTCTGCCACCTAGCAGGCCACTGTGTGATCAGTGTGGGCCCACTCAGGAGTTGCTGGAAGAATCACCTTTTTGCAGAAACAAAACATATTATCATAATTTACAATGATTAACAAAGTAGTCGTATTAACCTTATTATATAAAATTTGCAGTACGACACCAAGTACTTTTACGAGGTCGGAATTGGAAACACTAAACGACAATTTTGGTTCACTACGCCACCTGAAGTGGGCCCCGATGTGCCTTATACTTTCGGTCTTATTGGTATAACATCAATTGAAATAATGCTGATTCATTGACCAGTTTGACCGAGATGGGACTTATTTGTTTCGGTTGTCTTTCAATAGGTGATCTTGGTCAAACATTTGACTCGAACCGGACTTTGACTCATTATGAGTCAAACCCGGCAAAAGGGAAAGCCGTGTTGTTTGTTGGAGACCTTTCTTATGCGGATGCATACCCGTTGCATGATAATAATAGGTGGGATTCATGGGCAAGATTTGTTGAAAGATGTGTTGCTTACCAACCATGGATTTGGAGTGCCGGGAATCATGAAATCGATTTTCTTCCTGAATATGTAAGAAATTTGATCCATTTGATTCTTATAAATATAACCATTTCTAAGTTAAGAATTTCTTTCTATATTAAGTAAAAAGGAAAAACACATTTATAGTATGTCTCCATTTTGATTTTGTAGGGTGAGACAGAGCCATTCAAGCCTTACACACACCGGTATTATGTACCATATAAATCATCCGGGAGCACATCTCCTCTTTGGTACTCAATCAAGAGGGCTTCAGCATACATAATTGTCATGTCTTCTTATTCAGCTTATGGTACGAATGTCACATGAATAAGGAGGGTATTTACATCTTTGTTATAGTAACATGTATTGTTGTTTTGTAGGAATGTACACACCACAGTATAAGTGGCTCATGAGTGAGCTACCAAAAGTGAACAGAAGTGAGACACCATGGCTAATTGTTGTTATGCATTGTCCATTATACAGTAGCTATGTGCATCATTACATGGAAGGTGAAACAATGAGAGTGATGTATGAACAATATTTTGTTCAGTACAAGGTTGATGTTGTGTTTTCGGGACACGTTCATGCATACGAACGAACTGTAAGCACTTGTTACGTTCTTTCTCACATTTGCCATAAGTCAAGAAAAAACTCATTACTTTGTTGATATGTTTCAGGGACGTGTATCGAATATTGCTTACAACATTGAAAACGGATTGTGCACTCCTAGAAATGATGGATTAGCCCCTGTTTACATAACCATCGGGGATGGAGGAAACCAAGAAGGATTACTCTATGAGTACGTTGCTTAAAATATGTGTGCCCTTGTTAATGTTATATGGGGACTTGAGTGGACTAGACAAGTTTTTTAGGGCTAGTTTCGATGATGAGGAGGGCATTTACGTCTTTTGTACTCGGGAGAGATCAAGAATGAGTCCATGTCCCACTTTTGTTCCACCTTTTTAGGTGGAGGAACAAAAACTTGCAACTTTTTTTTTCGTCTCAATCTCTGTATAATGCATGATAAACGTAGTACAACCTGTTCTGTTCTATTGTGTACTAGTCATGAATCTTCCAAAGAGATTATTGATTTGATATTTATTTATTTTTGTGCAGAATGGTTGATCCACAACCAGGGTATTCAGCATATAGGGAACCGAGTTATGGGCATGGGATATTTGATATCAAGAACAAGACTCATGCATATTTTGCATGGCATCGTAATCAAGATGGATATGCTGTGGAAGGAGACTCTTTATGGTTTGAGAATCTATACTGGAAATCATCACACGATTCATTGGCTACATCATTCTGAGTGGAACTTCATGATCATAACTTTGAAATCCACAAATGAATACGTTCATACGAATTGTCATATGATGTTTGTAATAATGGTAAATGTTAATTGTTATGGTTATGATCATGGTATAGACAAAAAGTATGTTATAAAATGAGTCATTTATACGAATTGTCAATTGTTGTTTGTAATAAGTAATAACTCTCCAAGCCATCTCCAAATCAAGTTCATAGTTTAACACTGCAACCTACACCGATATCTTTCATTCTTTCTTCAAATCAATCTCACTTTTATAGCTTTTCTTTCTTTGTTAGAGATGAAATTCAAAACTTGTAAAGTTTTTCACTGATGCAATGACATATGAAAATAATTTGGTTCGCATAATGTTTAGGAAGGAATTAGAATCTGTAAGGAATTGAAATCTGTTAGGAATTGTCATAGTCTATTTATGGAATTGGAATCTAATTCTATATTTTGTTTGGTTGGAAGAAAATAGAATTGGAACGATGTAAAATGACATAACTACCCTTCTTATTTTTTGCTTAATTTTACTTTGTTTTATAAGTTATATTTGGTGGTGGCGGCGGTGATAGGTGTAGTGGTGGTGGTAGCAGATGGCGGTGGTGGTGCCGGAGGCGGTGCATGGTGGATGTGGTGGTTATGGACTGTAGCGTAGCGTTATGGCGGTGGTGGTGGTGCTTGGTGGCAGCGACAGTGGTGGTGGTGATAGGTGGTAATTGTGGCCGTGGTGGCAGTGCCGGCGGCCGCTGGTGGCAGCAGCAGCGGTGGTGGTGGCGGTGGCGACGACGATGGCGGTAGCAGTGACGGTGGATGGCGGGTGGTGGTGGTGGCGACGGCAGATGTGGTTGTGGTGGCGGTAGGCTGGTGGTAATGGCGGCGGTGGTAGGTGGTGGCGGCAGTGGAGATGGCGGTTGGTGGTAGGTGTGGCATTAGTGGTGGGTGTTAGTAGTGTTGGTGGTAGAGGTTAATATTGTAATCTTGCACTTTCCCTCATGAGTTGGAATTAATTCCATCCAAACATTGAAGGAATTCATTTTCATTCATTTCGTGGAAAAAATTTCATTCAGGAATCCGATTTCATTTCAAAAAGTTGAATCAAAGATTGGAATGTGATGGAATTGAGTCCAATTCTCCAAATTCTATTACCCTCCAGCGAACCAAACAACCCCTAAATTACAACTTACGAATAAAGTTCTGACAACCTTGGCATTTAGTACGTTTTGAATTTACTACATTTTAAATTTTAAGATATAATTTAGCACGTTTTGAACTACAGACAACTAGAAAACACGAAAGTTCATATATATATATATATATATATATATATATATATATATATATATATATATATATGTCTCAATGATTAATACATTTGGTGATAATACCTGATTATAAGGATCAAATCTCGGTTATAAATTTTTATCTTTATTAGATACTCCACGAGTAACTTCTAAAGTTCTACATGCATTTGTTTCATAGCAATTGAATATTCTGGACTTGGATTATTGTCTTATTGACCAGAAGCTGCACGTGTCCCCCACTTCACCTCATGGAGCCAATTTGATTCAACATCAAGATAATGATATTTTTGCTTCTAAAACAGGCCAAACGAGTTTATCCAAACACGCACACCAGGGTGAGCACTCGCAACCCACTATGTATATATGAACAAGAAACAAGGAGTTAATTTGCTTAATTTCTGCTATTTGGATTGGGTATGAATTGGGTCAGCGTTGGATCCGTTTATCTATTAGTGGGTTTGATTTTGGGAGCTCTAAGATCATGCAATGGAGGAATCAACAGTAGCTATGCCAGAAGCAACGATATTAGTGCTGATATGCCATTAAACAGCGATGTTTTTGCAGTTCCTCCTGGTTATAATTCTCCTCAGCAGGTATCTATTAATCTATTTTTGGCTATCTAATCACATATTGTTAGACGATATATCTTTGTGTATATTTGTATTTATTTACTATGCATGTATTTCTCATTACCATGTATATGAGTATATCTATCATTATAATTGTCTATTTATTGAATGCAATGGGACACTTCAGCAAAGGCTGACAATCCCAGCCAGCAATTACCGGGTTGGGTTTAGATCCATTTATTGAAACGGATCAACCCATCTAACCCGTTTAAATAAATGTGTTGGGTTAGAGTTGAAATTTCAAACTTATTTACAAACCGTCAACATGTTTAAATTTTTAAATACTTTTTATTTTTTATTTATTTAATATTATTCTTTAATTGATGATTATTTTTAATTTCTCAAAAAATACGAGTTGGTGAAAATGAAAGTCGAATTGTCGTAGAATTTAGAAATTAAATAATTATAATATTTTATGGTTGTAAACACTTGATTTGTGTTTGTGTTATGAACTTATGAACTCATACACTTATAGTTGTATTATTTTCAAGCTTGAACAATTATCAGATTTGGACTGTTTTTAAGAGGATTTTGTTTTGACGTGTGATTACTAGAAGTATTTTGTAACATTTACTTTCCGGAAGGGTTAAATGCAAAAATTAGCAACATACTCTCATTGATTAGCTTATTCTAACATCTAAATTTCATTTTAACAAAATATACCAAATTCTTGCAACGTCATTAACATTAAAATCAATTCTCACTCTTAAAATCTATAGAATTTTAAAGTATAATGTCTTAATAAGAAATAAATAAAAGTGCAATGCTATAATTGGTAGATTTTTCAATATATAACGCGCTAATAAGAAAAAGATTTCAAAGTTGTATTATGTAATAGAAAGAAATGAAAGTAAGATGCTATGATGCACAGATAAGTAAAATTGCATTGCTATGTCATGCATGCATTTAAACCTTCTAGCTAATCATGATTTCTGAAGAAATGTCGGTTTTCATGAAGGTTCACATAACACAAGGGGATCATGAAGGTAAAGGAGTGATTATTTCTTGGGTTACACCGGATGAACCTGGTTCAAGTGAAGTCATTTACTGGGCTGAAAATAGTGAGCTCAAAAAACACGCAGTAGGAACCGTTGTCACCTACAAGTACTACAACTACAGCTCACCTTACATCCATCACTGCACTATCAATAATCTCGAAGTAAGCAAAATCAATACTTTAACTAAAATCTGCAGTGATTAAAAAAGTGGTCATATTAACCTTTTTATATAAAATTTGCAGTATGACACCAAGTACTTGTACGAGGTTGGGATAGGAAATGCCACACGACAATTCTGGTTCACCACGCCACCTAAAGTGGGCCCTGATGTGCCATATACTTTCGGTCTTATTGGTATTGCAACAATTGAATTCGTGCTGATTCATTGACCCATTTGACCGAGATGTTATTTGGTGGACTTATGTCGTCTTTTGGTGTGCTTCAACAGGTGATCTTGGTCAAACGTTTGACTCGAATCGGACTTTGACTCATTATGAGTCAAATCCAGCAAAAGGGAAGGCCGTGTTATTTGTTGGAGACCTTTCATATGCGGATGCCTACCCGTTGCATGATAATAACAGGTGGGATTCATGGGCAAGGTTTGTTGAAAGAAGTGTTGCTTACCAACCATGGATTTGGAGTGCTGGGAATCATGAAATTGATTTTCTTCCTGATTATGTAAGAAATTTGATCGATTTGATTCTTATACATATAACCATTTCTAAGTTAAGAAGTTCTTTCTATGTTAAGTCAAAAGGAAAAAGCACATTTGTAATATGTCTTCATTTTGATTTTGTAGGGTGAGACAGAACCATTCAAGCCTTATACATGTTGGGTTTTGAGCATTCTAACACTCCTATGGTGTACATGCAACCCTATAAACCTTGGATCTA